AACAACAACAACAACAATAACAGCATAGCGTGTGTACTGGAATTGTTCCGGACCCCGAGGCCGGGGGGTGTAGGCATCGTTATGCATGTGTCATCCTGTACGGCTTAGTGGTTTAGTTTGCGGCAAGGTTTTGGGGTTTGGGGTTTCGTGTTCAGTAGTTTACGACTTCGGGTGTGTTAAGTTCCGCAAAGCACAAAGGGAGCAAGACGACAAGTTTCTCAAAGAAGCGGCCCAACAGCTTCGCAAAATGGAGCCGACCACTGACGCTCCTCGTTGAGCCCCAGGCCCCCCCACAGAGTTGGAACCACCTGTCTCCTTCCCCACGGAGCTGACGTCGGCCGTGTCCGTCCCACAGAGTTGCTGAACCATTTTCACTGGGGCCGAGAGGTTACCTCCAGGAAGCGAAGCCAGGTGCACGAATTACCTTGGAATCAACGAAGCCGACCCCTGTGGGAAGGGTAGCTGTCTGTGCCTCTCTGTGTGTCTGTGGCGGTATTGCCATGGGGATCTTGCGTTGCAAAGTGATCGGTTAGCATAGCTATGCCCGAAGGCTCCCCGACATGGAACGGTGCCTGTTTCCTATGCAGAAGATCCGTGCAGTGGCTACGGTCGTGGTGGTCTTGTGGTCCTTGCGGTCACGGTAGTCATGGTCGTCGTGGTGCGCGCTTGTCACTGTTTGGGGAGTTGCTTAGCATAGTAGGTGTAATTCGTGTCGCGCCGGGGCCTGCGCTTTTTCAAAATGTTTCAAAATTAACGAGCGCGCATCCTTTGTGCGTGTATTTAAACCTGCATCGTTTTTTCCAGTTTTGAGTTGTCACGAGTGTGTGAAGCCCCGTCTGTGAAAACGACCTCCGCAAGATGCAGCAGCAACGGCCCAAATCGCGAGGCTGGGTGGCCCGATCGACCAGGATTTAGCGTTTCACCACGTGCTTGAAAGCAAGCTGCCGCTCTCTGAGCGCGCAACTCGACACGATCGGAAAAGATGTGCATGAACAGACAGACAGATTGCGAGATTCATTGATTCAGTCGGGGATGTTCTTCCCTGTGCGGTTTCTTTCCAAAGTACCCGTGTGTGAACCACTCCCCCGCAGCCCTAAATCCACGAGTCAAGAAGGACCTGTGGGTCAACCTTGATGTACAGCACAGTTCACCAAGCCCTATCCAGCAGCCTCTCGTGTAGTGCTACTTGGCAAACACAGCCGCTGGACTTTCGGATGGCTTTGGGCAACTCACGATCACTCTTTCGAGCTTGTGTACTCTTAGGACCCAGATCTGCCGCCCTGATGTAGTGCGGCTGCGAACCGGAGACCTCGCCTGCCTGTGTCCGAGGTGTGAGAGCTCACAGCACTGTAGACCCAAAGCCTATGTCAAGCCTATGTTTGAGTTTGAGCGACAGCACATGTCATAATACTGAAGATCATCCATTGACTGCCAGGTCAAATGAAGAGCATTGACCAAACCCACTGGACGGCTGCCACTCTGCGCCGAAACCCCACAACCCTATAAAGGGTCTTGCGACGGTTTTGCTCAAGCGTTTTCTGTAAAGGTTCGGAAGCATGATGTGAATGCACGCTGTACCGTTCTTTTGTTCAGGCCCGCGATTGCAAAGATCCAGCAGCCCTGCGGCTGTCCTGTGAGCTACTTAAGCTGTCGCCATCATGGCTGGACGCTCAGGTTGATTGATCACCGAACGAGGGGTTTTCGGTTGTGCCCGGGCGTACGGTGAAATGAAATGTGAGCCAGGCATAGTCAGGCACTGTGGTCCCTTGCTGAAAGTAAGATGGCATGTTGCCGTTTTGCCGTCACGAGACTGTGCGATCTACCAAGGGAAGAGACCGTCACTCCGCTTCCACATCATACGAGGCATCAGTCGATTGGCACAAGAGCTGATGCCAACGAATCCATTTTTGGAGCGGCCTGCGTCGGGGGGCCTTGTTTTGTGATCGGACAGAAACAAGCACCCGAAATTGTTGCTTATGAGGCATGGTGACGCGCTGGTGCTGTGATGCTGACTTTGATGACAGTCTTCTGAGGGTGCAGCGGTAGAAACCGGATTCTCAAGGGCAGGAGGTTCCAAAATCTATTGACTATTGTAACCGTTGAGGGCTCGATCCTGACCAATCCAGGGTCGAAAATCGCCATCGCAGCCACCCCGAAAGCCCCCAGAGTCATGATAGCAGTCTTCCGTAGAATGATAATCAGCTTGCCCACCGGACGCCCTCAGATCAGAATGGCTCCGAGCAACACTTCTTGAACTAAGTTTCAGGATGCCGACACCGATGCCATTGCCACTGATGCTACGGCGACCGTGACATCGACCAAACCGCATCCGGTCGAAAAGTTTTCGAGCTGGAGTGACACGGTTAAATGAGAAGTCTTTGAGAGTTGGGGGGCTCAGGGAAACGCATCCAGTTTCTAAACACCTCGTGGTCTCATTGCCGCCGTTTGCACGCTTTCCATCCCTGCTGCCCACTGTCGCCATCATGGCTGGGCGCTCAGCACGCAGTTTCAAGCTCCTGCTAAGGTTAGATGTCGTTGTTGTGCGCGAAGACCAAATCAATTCGGGCGACGGCATGCAGGAGGATTGTGTAAGAACTTCGAAAGGAGCATCTGATTTCGGAGGGTCCACTACAGTTGCTTTGCTAAATGAACCGTGGAAGTGGACACGTTAAAACGTAAGACGCATGGCAACCCAGGAGCTCAGCCATGAGTTTCCCAAGCCGCAAACTAAATTCTAAACCCTGCGAAGTAGGAGACTCCAAACCCCTGTAATGCCCTCTGTCCCTGGGGTCGCTTTCCGGAGGCCCGACGTGGGCTTTTGAAGTGATTCAAGGGACCTTAAACGGGGGAGAAGGACTCTGATTCCGGCACCAGCTCTGACTGTGACACTTTCTGTTGGTTACGCCTGAATTTTGCAGGCGTCCTCTCGCAAGCTGCTGCGGACTGAAACACCGGACTACTCGGCTGTGAAGCTTCTTGGCCGACCTGACTTTACGCACAGGTATCGGAGTCGCCTGTTGGCAGTCCTTTGCGTGATGCGTTTCCTCTGCACAAGGAAAGGATTGCGCCTTCATGCAGAAGCGCCTCGGCCGGGTCAACCGCAAGGATGCCCGTCCCACACAGACGATATCCTCTGTGTCCATCCCCACTTTGTTCTGTGCAGCGATCGGCCGGATTGTTCGGACTCCTTATTGTTTCCTCTTGTTACTGCTGTCGCCTTTTGTTGACCTCGGCCGGGCTCGGCCGGATAGTTGGACTACAGTACTCGTCTCCACCACTTGTTTCTGTTATGCAGGGGGCAAACCCATCTTGCCGCATGTCTCGTAGTTGGTTTCCTTCCTCGTCTTCCATTTGTGTTTCACTTCATGTGGGTGGCTGCTGGACTCATTATTTCGCGGGCGTGGACGCGGGGTGTCACGCACTCCAGAAATGGAGTGGGCCAGTTGGATAAGCGTAAGTGGGCAGCCGAGGGATGATAAGCTGTCCAGCGAACACTAGGTCACTAGGTCATTAGGGATCACGAAGGCACACAGCTCTCGAGAGGTTTTTAGTTCATTTCCTTTATTGGTTTAGTTCACCACAACTTACAATGACTTCGAGGGTTGTAGAATTCGCCACGTAGATGATGGTTGATGTGGGAACTGAAGCTGTGATGATACCCTCACATCAGGCACGTTAAATTCAATGCCTTGTTCAGTCCGTATCAAGAGTACACAGCGTTTGTGCCTACACCTTGAAACCCATGGTTGCATACCATATAGTCTCGCACGGCGACCTTCGGCCCCATCGAAATGGTGAACACCGCACAGACCCGTCATATTGGGACCATAAGCGCGTGTTGTGTCCTTTCTTATTGTGTTTGACGCTTGCATGAGCCAGCACCCAAGCCCTGAGTCTCAAGTTCTTGATACAAGGACCATAATGAAGTTAAGTTTCATATCGTAGTTTATCCAGTGTTTTTTTGGGTGTTATATTGGCCCAGAAATTTCAGACCCTGTTTTAAGACCCTAAGTTCATCTAAATGTTAAGCATAAATAGAACCGCTATCGTACCCTCAAATTACGTGCAACCGAAAACCCGGAACTTTAAACCCTTCTTTCAGCCCAAGGCTTTGAAGTCCACAAACCGTTGAACCCCTAGCTGCACAGGAACTGTAAAAGAACCCAGAAAGGAACTCGTAGAGGAACCCGACTTGAAGTCCCGAAAGCTTCACGGCGACCTCATGCCCCAAAACCAAAAACCCGCAGGCCCGCAGGTTTGGCCAGTATAGGCGGTTTAATACATAAAACAGGGTCTTGGCGTCTCTCGTGTTGTAAATGCCTAAAAGAAGCTTGTAAATATTTATTACGAGCTGTTCAGGTTTCCAGATTCGGGTTTGGGGGTTGTACGTGTATCTGCGGCAGCTGGGCGAGTACTTCAAAAATCAAGTGATGTCGTCACTGCAGAGTCTTTCTGTCATGTCATTCTGCAAGAATCCAGCATCCTCGCGGTATCATATGTAAATCTCCGATGACCATTGAAATGGGGCCGTTAGGGCGGAGATCTTTGTTGGACAAGATGGAAGTTTTTGTGAAGTCGAATGCGAGCCATGACTTTCAGTCGCCGTATTTTGGTCAAGCATGTCTCAAAGGAACGGAAGCTTATACATGCAAGATAAAATTCGGTAAACCGAATTCGGGAGTTTAGAGCCCCGGACTTACCGAGTCCCATGATCCTCCAAGCACCTAAACTGTCAACCCGTAAGTAACCGTAAGCCCAAACGCAGGCAATCCCCAACAGCCCAAATCCCTAGACCCCACGATACTCCCGCACAGCCCCTACGCCAGCACCCCAGCCCTCCAAACAGCAAAATCAGGTGGGCGACGGTGGCCCAGGATTACAGGCACAAGTTCTCCGACCCCAGGCCAGACCCGCTTGATTTTTTTCAAGGGGTACCTAGGTTGGGAGTTTGCGGCTTAAAGTTTTTAGTTTTACTGGAGGGATTAGCCACGTTTTTGTTTCGAGGTTGAGGTTTGGGGCAGTATGGAGTCGAGAGTTCAAAGTGTAGGTCAGGGCTTGCCGATGGGTTTTTTAGGGATTATATGGATCACCGAAGAAGCTCTAGGACTTAACCCCAAAACCTTAACGTGATGTATGCCGGTCGTTGAGGGATCTTCGTATGGGGTTTGGCAGGGGGTTGCGACGTGTGCAACTTATTTCGCAAAGGTTTCTGGCGAAGCTTCCTATGATGATAATTACAATTTTTAGGGTACTACTTACATATTGTAGGGATCGCATTATTTTCGGTCTCACCTATCGGTTTCAATTATGCGATGTTAATGTGTTCTCGTTCCAGGGTGGTCTGTGGTCGTCACACGCTTTGTATAGTCTTCACGCGGTTGAAATTTAAGGTTTGGACTGTGGGGGTTTGTGCTGTGCTTCCGGCTTCAAAGCTTGAATGTGTCTACAGTGTGGGTTTTGGTTCGTCTTAGTTCCCCCAGTCGTACCCTTATACCTTTTTGGATCTTGAGGCGCCGGTGATATCTTTTTTTTTCATGGGTGTTGATGCGAACTTGTGATAACTACTTACAGGCTCAGGGCGGCTCAGGAGACTTTGTATAGACGTAGGTTATCCGTTTGCCAGCAATTTGCTGGAATGCTTGAACCGTATCACAAAGAGTGACTAAGTATGCCGACCTCGAGCACAGCAGTGCGTGCGTCTGATTGACAGGATATCATCGATGCACCACTTGGAGATGAAGGCGTACTCTGTACAGATGCCAACGGCTGGGAGTCACGATACGTAGTACTAAATCTACTCGCCAACCACGCAATCTTTTTGTCGTTACTCGCTTGTCGGATGATCAACTCGCTGTTTTCCATAGCACGGAGAGCACCAAGAATGATGAAAACCATGCACTTGACATGTGGTTGCAACCAGCCTACAAGTTTGCAAAATTTCTGAATCCTTGTGAAAACCCTTATAGGCCCTAAGCTTTAAAACTCCGAACTACTAACCTGGCTCAAGCCCCGACCTCCGTTACCTTGAAACGCTTGCGGGTTTCGGGTTCAAGGCCCTGGCTCTTGCTGGCCGAGTGCTCCTCTTTGCCGAACCCGAGCGCGAGCGTTTGCGAGAGCGGCTGGACAGACACGAACTTTGGGTGTTTTTGTAGCCATAGACTCCAAAAGCCTTCAATCCAGCAATCAGTCAAGTAAACCATAGAGGGATCTCTTGATATGATTTAAGGTATACTCGTGAACAATAGGGGCGTCGGAGTTCTTAGTTTTTGTATACCGGCATCTTTCACTGTTGTTTGAGTGGTCGGAGGGCGCAAAGTGAGTTTTCAGTGATCTTAAGAGCCTTCGTTTACAAGGGCTCAATCACTTTGGTTTACTTGGGATTACGTATGTGTAGTTCTTTATTTTCGGCTCCATTATTTTGGTTCCCAACACAGTACGACACCTTCATAAAGAAAAAGGACCAAAAAAGGACCCTAAACCCTAACCCCCAAACCCTAAACCCCAAACCCAAACCCAAAAGGAACCTCATGTAGAGAACGACCCAAAGGTGTGGGTTAAGCAGCGGGGGGTTGAGGGGTTGGGGCTTCGGGCGTCGAGCGCCTCCGTGGTCCCGGGTTCCGGGTTTAGGCTTAGGTTTCGGAGGTTAAGGTTTGGGGTTCAGGTTTCAGAGTTTAGGGTTTAGGGCTTAGGCTTCAGAGTTTAGGGTTTAGGGCTTAGGCTTCAGAGTTTAGGGATTAGGGTTCAGAGTTTAGTCTTCAAAGCTTGGGTGGTTTGGGTCAACAACTTCTAATTAAATCCTAAAGGTATGCATAATCCCTAAGCTTAAACATGAAAACCCTATACCCTAGCTTATGGCTCTGAGGGGTTAGAGGTCTCAAGCGGAGAGCAGGTGTAGAGCCGCCGATTGTCGAACAACTCGCAATTGACAGACAGACATAGGTTGTGCTTGACCGTGTTTTACATGCACATGCAGAGGTGGATGTATGTATGGATGAATATATGTGTATATACATATACATACATACAGATATATATATATATATATGTATATGTGTGCACATACATATATAAGCAATATGCACCATTATATCTGTGTGCATACCTACACACTTGGATAATTATGTTCATATACCTATACATATGCACCATACATCGTACATGTACATGTATCAGAGTATCTATGCTTATATATGCAGTCTGTCTTTCAGCATGAATCGAGCATCTCAGGGAGAATATTTTTCACATGGAGTGTTTCGCTTTCAAAACGTGGGCAAGGAAGCAGCTTGACTGAGTACTGAACGATATTGACTGCATATATATATATATATAGAGGTGTCTGTAACACTCTGATATTGCAAGTATAGCCATAGCTATACATACATAGGTACACGGGGTCTTCGAATATATACGCTTAGGTATCGTGGGTACGGGTGCGTACAGTGTGCAGCCTTTGTCAGTTCATAATTGGTTCTTTTTATCGCAGCGAAAGTAGCGTCGACTACTCTAGCAATAAAAGTACGTTTTGTACTCGCTAGGAGCAGTAGTACAAGTAGCAGCAGCAGTAGCCGTGGCAGCGTCGTCCAAGTAGTCGTAATCGTAGCCGTAGTCGTCGCGAGGCAGAGTAGTAGTACAGTAGTAGTCGTCGTCGTCGTCGAGTGGTAGTGGTAGTGGTAGTGGTAGTGGTAGTGGTAGTGGTAGTAGAAGCAGTAGTAGTAGTAGTAGTAGTAGAAGTAGTAGTGCCGGTGTCAGTGCAAGTTTTGTGGGAGGGATATTGTGCAAGGGTGTTTGAGTAGTTGCACCTGTGCAAACCTATCTTGCAATGCCACACGGCAAGAGATAAGGTACATGGCTGTCTTACGGTTACCCGTTCGGACTCCAACCTCTTGTGTGTCTTGAGGGTTTAGGAGGGGTTCAGAAGTCAGGCAAGCACTGCATGTGACGATGTTCATACGCACATATGTGCTGCACACAGACACTGTTTTAATTTGTTCATCGACTTACACCTTGATCTCATGTCCAGGCTTCATCTGGACACCGACGTCATCGATACCGCCCTGGAAACATATGCTGTGAACTTCTCCATCGGCGAGGGTCTTGCTGGTTCCCTGGGCTTCATGCTATGTATAAGCTTCAGGCAATAATGAGGGATGGCGAAAGTGGAGCCGGAGTAGGGTTCTTGGTGCATAAATCCTGAACCTTCAACCCTGGAACCCTAGAACAGTAGAATAGAACCCTTCGAACCCTGCTAGAACCCGAGAGCCCGAAACACAAGGACCCATACCGAAAAAGGAGGGGCTGCAGGGTTTTGTGGGATAGGTGCAATTCCTGTACTCTCGTCATAGTCGATTCAGTCAACTACTGTAGACGCTCTGCGCCACGCAAACAGATCGTAGCTCCGCCAGTAGTACGCGCCTACCTCTGATTTTTGGCATCTCCGTCTTCATATTATGTAGAAAAGTTGATAAACGGAAAAAGGGAACGATCCTGGCGAACACCGGGTCTAAATCCCCCACTGAAGGCATCGTGCCCTTGGACTACGACGCTGGCTTCTCGCTGCCCACGGGCGTCGCTGTCCAAGGAGCAGAAATCCCAAATGCTGGCAGGGAATCGGGCGTCTGTATACAAATGCTAGGGCTAGGTTTGATATATGTATTAGTGGCTGAAGACTCAGAGGTCTGGGTTAGACTCTACAGATCCAATGCCGCCCTTAGCAGGACCTCACCATAGGGTCTTTTCTTACCAGAGCCCCTGTTCTTAATAGTTGGTATCTCGGCCACTACAAAGGGTAATTGGGGAGGTCTAGGTAGAACCCAAGCCAGGACGCGAAATGTTAGGGTCCTGTGTTGATTGCCCAGAGAGTCCAAGTATTTACCCAACTAGTAAGGAAGCTTTGAACCACCCCACTCTGAATGTTTTTGTTGCTGCTATCCGAGGCCCTACTATTCGACACTAGGATGATGTATGATGTAGGCCGCTGACTCGCAAACCCAACTCCTCGTATAGGTTTTCCATTGATGATTCGGCGGTGTAATGGTCTTGAAAGAAATGCAGCTCTGTTTAGCACGGGTCTACACTACGAGGACTCCCTATAGTTATAGAATCAACCCTGAAACTCAAGCGATATACTCCGATAAGCCCTTCAACAACCAGCCCTGAACACCTGAACCCTAAATCCCAAACACTTCCGTTGAAACGTAGACCCCGTCGCGACCCAGGAGATGTTCTTTACACGGCCTCTTATGGCACAGGCCTTCTCCGGTTTTCTGCATTGGATTCCCTTGCGTAGACCCGAACTATTTAGCACCAAGCCCCTACCAGCCTCCAAATTGGCTTTCTTGGTTGAGGGTATTGGCATCTGCCATGGGGTGAAGAAGCACCAGGGCCTGGATGTAATCATGGTGTTCAACGTGCAGCCGCTGAGGCAAGCAAAACACATGATCCCGACACACTCCGAACCGAGAACCTGATGGTCCAAACCCTGAACAAATTCCTTTCCCTAAGCCCCTAAACTGCTCTGCCTGAATCCAGACCACTGCACCCGAAGAACCGCTCGGGACAGCGCAGTCTCTGCGTTGCTGTTCGGTTTTCGAGATTTTAGGGGTTTAAGGGCTTCCTTCTTGTGGTATTAGGGTTTTGGGGTTTAGGGTACCCGCTTTCCTTAGCAATGTATTGCAGTATACTTCATGAACCAGGAAGAGGAGCTACGTTGGAGGATGCTGCATAGGGCTCATTGCTTCGAGGAAGTTTCCGATTATCCCTGAAGGGCTCCAAAACATGCTGGCAGGGCTTGGAGGTCTCGATCTTAAGATGGCCTGGGGCGCTATCTACAGCTTTGAAAGCCTGGTACCCTAAACCCGAAGCTCTACAGTAATACAGCTGGATCATCATTATGTTCACCTCTTTCATCGTTGCTACATACGGGATCGTAGCCGCAAGACACCCAAAATACCTCATACTTCAACTTAGCAGGATTCCCCGTTTCAATTCGAGAAAGAGGTCAAGTTCGGCAGACCAACCTCACGTCCGGCCTCACCACGGACTTTGCCGGAAGGCCTCTGCCTCGTCGTAGGGAGCGCACAGAGGGATGCTTGACTTACCCATCATTCAGGTATGGACCATTTAACTGACACTTGCAACACGTGGGTCTCTCTCCCGTTGATTTGAAGCGGCCATACACCCCGACGGGGTCGTTAAGAATGATTCCCCCTGATCCGAACCATCCTTCCCGGCGTGTCTTTAGCCTTAAGAGCGGGCTCAGAAAGGACATCGTCGGTTTTTATATGGTGAGATGTGGGTTCAAGTTCAGAACGGCGTGCTGATGTTGCTCAGATTGTACGAGGGGGCAGGGGGAACTTTGGTTTTCAGATGTTATCCGCTTGTTAGTTGCTCGTTGCCATCATCTGGTGTGCATTATCCCATCAAGCAATGTATTACATCCCCTCCCTACACAATTATGGTTTCAAAAACCTCCAAACTCTGTTACAGTAGCTCGTAAATCTCCGCTGATAAAGTCTTGTAGACCCTTATAAAGACTCCATGGCAGCCCTTGAAGGAACCCTTGCCGGAACCCCAGCCGAATCGTTTGATCCTCTGTTTGAAGCCCTTATCAAGGGACCATTAAGCAGCTATGTCGTTCTTGCCTTGTGTAACCTATAAGGGCCTCTAAACCAGCTCGGAAAACACCACCGAGTAGAAAGCTGAAGCCAAAATCTTAGGCGGCTCTTTGTTCATAGGTTTTGGCAGGGCTTGTAGAGGGTTTTGTAAGGGCGTTAGAAGAGTTCCACAGAGTCTTATAGGAAAGTTCCGCAGAATCCGTACCGTAGAACCCCATGGAACCCTGTAGAGCATGTCCAAACACCCGGAAAAACTCTACACAGGCCTCTTAAGCCCTCGACTGACCCACCAAGACTAAAGTGCAGTACTTGAATGGATGAACTTTAGCTTCCGGGTCTATACAATGTACAGTTAACCCCAGTTGGAAAACAGAGGTTTGAACTGTCACCCGGTGAGCTGGAAAACTTAGAAAGATACAAAGGAAACCAACCCCCCCAGAATAAACCAAAACCCTGCAGGCCTAAATCCCTCACAGGAAAACACTCAACAATCCCATCCCCTCACAAGTCAAGATAGAGCACAGCACCTGCACACGAAAACAATGCCAAGAAGCACCAGAAACAAAAACTAAGCCTTGTAACTCCATGAGGCGGAACGAAGGCTTCCTTGTCGCTTCACCGGGTGCTGGGGCCACTGGGCTTGTATGTTGGAGATCAATTCGCCGTACTCTCGCAACTTAAATCAGCATTCACCTCAATATTGAGGAAACCTTGAACTCAGAGTCTTGAGAACATGCCATTTTTGGGGCGACAGGCATGACCTGTAAATACTAAAGCAAAGTGGATATCGGCCCAACAAGCAGTAAAGACCAGACCCTCGAACGAGCGAAACCTCAGTTTAGTTAAGAGGGTATGCCTCCGGATCCCGAATCCCAATATTTTCTGGGTTAGAACCTGTCAAGATGGACTAAAACCCTCCGGTGCCGCAGGTTTAAAGTTAATTTTGTTGGCTACAGGTCGGAGCTAGGGTTTTGGGTGTTGGGACCCTCTATAGGTCTTCCATTCCCAAACGCGAAACGTGAAAAACCGAAGACCCGGTAGATACCAGCCAAACTTTCCTGAAGATTCTAAACTTACCTTGAAAACCCGACATATTCAACTCCAAGACCCTTTGCATCCGAGTAGAAACACAATTATATACGTACTCCCAAAATATGAACCAGCAGTTACTACTATCCGAAACCTCAAACACATACTCAGCGCGGGTCTACTATGGAGACACCGTAAAGGAAGGGTAGTAACCCCTAGGAAGCTCAATGCCCGCCGACATATACCACCCCTAAAAACCGAAACCCTTAAACCCAAAGCACCCACGGACCTTCCGGGCACAGCGACAACAACTAACGCACTGACAAGAAAACGTCGAATATCAACACATACACACACACGCACAACAGAAAGCTGCGAAACGGAGAGCCGAATGCTGAATACAAGAATTACAGAGCCGAACACAACAGGACGAAAGACGTATATATATATATATAGATAGAGATATAGATATACATATATATATATAGATAGATAGATAGATAGATAGATAGATAGATAGAGACCCGAACGACCCCAAGGACGGTGGATCGGCGGTCTTTTCGGTCCTGGCTGGACCAGTGGCCATGGTCGCGGCTGGTGAGGCCTTCTGTTGAAGAGACGGGGGAGGAGGGTTTAGAGTTTAGCAGTTAGGTGTGTTTGGCATGTGAGGTTCCATTAATTTTGCTATCGACGAGGTAACATCCTAAAGATAAGAGGGCACTTAAACTTATTTTTTTGTAGGCCCAGGCGCTACAGTGGAGCTTCACAGGGTGCTTCTGGATTGTGTCAAAGTGTTGTGGGGATTGATTTGGGTACGTCGTCGTGTGGGGTGTGATTATTGTTGTTATTGTTTCGCCGTTGTTGGAGGGTCGTCGTTGCAGTTTGTAGACTGAAGTCTAGGTTTTGCAGGATGTGGGGTTTCGGAGTTTAGGGTTTATAGGGGTTGGTTTGAGTTTTTTTGGGGTGGTGTTTGCTCCAGGATTGTAGGTTCACAGCAAGTTGGGTTCAGTTGCAAAGCGAATGAACTGTGGGCATCGCAGTGTTGCAAGAGCTTTAGAGGCCAAATGAACCTAGCCTAAACGAGTGCACAGTTTAATTGTCGCATGGGAGTGTATGATAAGATACAGGTCCCCAATACTCTGCTCCATCGACTAATTAGATACCCACTGTTAAAGACCAACAGAGTACCTTGGGGGGTCCCGGTAAGACTCGTACGCAGAAGTCCGCAACACAAGGTGAGCTACATCGCCGAGAGCGACACAGGTCGTATCCGAGAAGTCAACATGTCAACAGGCTGCTGCAAGGGGGGTTCGAAGCATTTTGGCGTCGGGGTGTAATACCGCAAGGCTCCACGTACCTATCTTGTATATAGTTGGCCCGGTTGGGCCTTAAAGTACCTATCCAGGAACCCCTTTGTAAGCCCTTAGTGTTTACTATACGAGTACATGGAGCCTTTGG